AGTCCTAACCAAGGAACTTGCAATCCAGAGGGAATATAAATACTCCCCTCAAAATATGTCCTGTACTCTTCCACTATGCATTGATGCATTTATACTTGTACAGTTTAACATTTGCTTTTAACAAAATAAAAGATGATATTTGACTGCGTAGGGAATTGAAACTGGAAACATAGCTAAATTATTATAACACATGCCTAAACAGATGGGTAATATTAAAGTCTTAAGTGCTACTGCTTTCAGTAACACAGCTCTTTGAAAAAACCTTTTAAACACGTCAGGCCAGTTTTTGTAAGCTCTTGTGTTTTATTTTTAGAGCAGCATTTGTCGCTATGTATTTTCTTGCAGGCAGATTTCCTTTTTTTTTTTTTCTTTTTTTCTTTTTTTTTTTTTTTGTTCAACAGGACATTCTGGCCCTTACTTTTATCCAGCCACAAAGGTTGCTGGGTTATGAAACACTTAGATGGACAGAACTCATCAGAGGAAAGGTTTGGTGCTTTGTGATGTGAAATGGCACTTTCGTACCCACCAGCCCGCGCCCGGTCTTTTACTGCATCATTGGATTGTAGCAGTCTCTTACATTAGAAAAAATTCTGTCTTGGTCTCCCTCTCTGCATTAATTTGAATGTTCAAATTAGGCCAGAGCTTAAAATAACTCAATCTACTAAGCTTTTCAACAAAGTACTTTAACTTTCCCAACTCATTTTATTTACTCTTCAAAAATGCTGGAATCATATTAGAAAAAGATTTATCTGAATGGCAAGCAGAAATAATTACCCAGGCAGATAAGCCTATAAAGAATCAAAATTTATCTTTACACAAAATACAGGGCCTGGTTGTGGCACACTCTGCCTATTTGTCTAACGGACATGTAACAGAGAAATGGTCCAAATGAGCTTAATAAATCTCTTTTTTATACTCACAAAAGACCACATCCTCACTTCCATAATTCTATTAGAGTCTGCTCCTTTGGAGGAGATAAAAGAAGAGATAACCTCTCCATTCAGAATATAAAATAGCAATTTTTCAGGTGATGATTGGAATATTTCCAGTAGAAGGACTTAATTATGGAACAAAATTAGCTCAATCTGACCTTTTTAGAGAATAATGCAAAAATAAGTTTTTTTGCAAATGTCTTCCTGGAATAACTAAAATAAAGAATAATTTACTTCACATTTTTTTTTCACAGGAGCAAAAGGTGTTACCATATGATAGCAGTGTTCTTGCAGAGATGACAATCCAAGGATAAAAATAAGACAGCATTTGCAGAGAGGGATAACATATTTTTAATAGACTAGCTCATACAGTTTAAAAAGAGACTAGCTTTCAGACACACAAGCCCATTTCAGCAAGAGCAGGCTCACCTCTGTGACTCAAAATTGCTAGCTTAATGTCTAGATAGTGCAATGATCATGTCATAGAAATACACAGAAATGTACAGTATCTATATTAATTACATTCTGAAAGCTTCTCTTGGGATAAAGACAAAACATAGTGTTGCAATCTCTATTTTATGTAAGTGGTAAATTGGAATAAGTACTTGCACCCACAGACCTACAGACTGGGGGATGCTGTGTGTTAAACCATTTCTCTAGGGGTGTTTATTTAGATGAGTTTATCTGTATTGAAGCATTCCTCGCTAGAAAAAAAACAAACAAACCAAACCAAAAAAATCCCACAAACTGGAAAGAAAAACCTCCTCCATTTTATCAGTCCTATCTCTGATTTCATGACATTTTGAATGCTTCTAAGCCATGCTGATACTAGTGCATACAAGAAAAAAGGGATGAACAGGTGGCGATATTAACAGGCTTCTTAGGGTTCTGAAAAATGAGATAGAAATGTTTCATGTCATGAAAGTCAACATCAATAATCATCCATCTTGTGTAGATATGGAAGTCAGCCAATGTGGTTCTTGCTGAGGAGGCGTGAGATATTTCTTTTGCATTGGAGCTGTTGCTCTGGACACAAGACATAATTTGTCTACTATAAATGAATGAGGAGAATATTACTAATATTTCCTTTTTTATTCTTTTTTTTTTCTTTTTTTCTGTCTCTTTTTTTTTTTTTTCCTTTTTTTAAATAAACTGAAAGCTCCCCCTCCTGGCACATTTCCTGAACTGAATGCAACTTTCCCGACATCTGCTTTTAGCAAGAGAATTTTCACTTTTGCTGTCTTTTAAAGACCCTTTCCACAAAGATTCTTTAAAAAAATGGTGTATTTATAGTTTCCCAAGGATTTTCCATTTCCCCATCAAGCTTCAGGGCTTGATGTGAACTCATTTAACAGCAGGTGGTTGCCTTAAGGCTTTACCTATAATTTTCATCTGTTGCTTTTCCAGGCAAAGACTTACTTGCTTCCCACTTTACTGCATATTATGCAGAGTATAGAAAACTTTATCAGAAAAAAGAGTGTCAGCATTTTTTTTTTCTTCAGGGTGATCACTGTATCTCAGCTATAACCCTACCACCTATTTGCCTAATAAATGCCTTGGAATTACTTTGGGAAATCTACAGGATCTTTTTGAACCAATGCTGCAGCTTTCACCCTGTCCAGGCTCAGGGAATCTGCAAGCCAGGGAAAGGGGAAAAAACAAAGAGGGACTTGTTAGGGGCACAATTTTGGTAACTGCTGAAACACTCTCATCTGTTTCAAGGACCCAGTGTCAATCTTTCCTCTAATCCTTAAATCAGTGTAGTCACTTATGTGCTTAATATGATGAACTGATTTGTCACTCATTTTCCACAGTCATATACTTATGCAAAGAAAGGGGAAGACTTTCCCAGCATGTGCAGCCACAGGATCCTGTAATTCCCATAAATTCCAACATATTAATTTTGTTATGGTCACAGGTACCATCCCTCAACTCCAAGCAGACTGAAAAAGGCAGTGAGACTGGTTAGAAATCTTTCATTAGATTTGCTATCATAGATTCAAAGACATCATCTCTCTGTGTCCTTAGAAACTATTTATGGGGGACAACATTTTAGTGGAGCGTGAAGACAGGAATGAATGCTTCTGTGGAGGCAGGATTATACTGGGGCCAACCTTTCACATAGGCATCCACACCAGACCCTCTGGCTACGCAGAAAAATAGTAAAATAACATCATATTCATCTCAACTCAGTACTGAGCTGCACTAGTAAAATAAGAATGAATTAATTATATTTATGACTTCCTTTCTGGGCTTTCCCTGAATATCAAGGTAGTATCTTCTATGATAATGATGCCACTTTGCTTTTTTATGCAGTTAAGTAGAAAATGTGGCAGGTTTTAGTTGCACAATAGTGGATATTTTAAAGTCTAGTATCAGAGTAACAATTTGCTATGGATACAGTGAATGAAGTATGCCCATTAGACTTGGTACATTAGGTCTGGAAGTGGGAGAATTGCTGGCCTGGCACCTTTTGCCACTTTCCTGTTCCCTCTCCATGGTAACAAAAATCAGGACTGACCTACACAAACAAAGCTGCTCGCCCTAAACAGAGCAGAGCTCAACTGCGGAGGCAGCCAGGCCAATTAGCTTTCAGTGTAGTTTACAGTAAAGAAGGTCTGTTAGTATAAATGTCTACACATACACCAGAATACTAAATGTAAGCTTGCCATTTGAAGGCAAATCAGAATAATAAATTAACAACTGACATGTTCATTATATACATGGATATAGATACACACATACCCCTATCTGTATTCTTGTTAAATTCTTACTTCATATTGTGTGTGCACACATACGTATTTCTTCTTAGAAATGTGTCAAAACCTGCTTTTATTGTCATAATGAAACAGTAGGACTCCTTTGAGAACCATTTGCCTGAAAAACTGCTGTAAACTTCTTTTGAGTAGGCTGTCTGCACTCAAGAGAGTTAAATCAGTAGAACTTTGACGAGGCTAGAAGACCCACTAATATCTAATTAATGTGGAAATAATTGTTGTAATGGTTGCATTTCTCTACAAAGCATGTACTGAAAAACAGTTACACTGTCGATTTAGTGAGTATTAAATCAGTTTGATATGCAAATGGGGGTGCTGGGCTACTTCCTAATGTTGTTATTATTTAAACATATGTTTATTAAGCTGGGAAAATTGGAAATGTTAACAAGTGGGATCGAAAAGCAAAGCAATGTCTTTTATTAACAGAGACTTTCTTCCAAGTTTATATTGTCCACCTTTTAGAGTCAGTAGGCTCTGATGACAAGAGTAACATCGATACTAAATGCGAGGGTACCTCTGGGAGTAATGTAAAATAGTCGTTCCTGCACCTGACATGTTCCGCTGTTTTTCTTCCAGGATGAATAAAAGAGAGCAAATCTTGTGCTCTCTGGATTACCCCTGAGCTCTTATCTTTTTGATGTTAAGGGGTCATGGAAACAGCTTAAATTGCCTTTATCCATTAATGTAGATTCAATTAACTCAGGTTAATGACTATAAGCTGGAGCTCAGGGACTTGAGAGCTGCTCACATTGTTCAACCTGGCTTGTCCTGTGACTTAAGCTGCATTTCTGAGGGGATGCAAAAGGAAGATAGTGTCTTGCTGGGACGTAACCAAACACTGTCTACAGAGAAGTGGAACCCTTGCCTCTCAGGCGTGTGCAAAGCTCGTGGCTGCATCTAAGTACAGAAGTGTGATACACAGTTGACCAAATCACTTCCAAAATGACTGCAGCATATTTGCTAAACATTTACTCTTAAACTTAGTGCAATCAACACAAAATCTTTAGGAGTAATGCATTGTGAGATGTTAAGACTTGGATGAGTATTTTGCCTGGGCTGTATCTTCTTCTTCCCTACTGTAATATACCATGGTCAAAAGAGTGACTACCAAATAATTTGTTTCAGGAAGAGTGCAAAATTGAAAATTGTTGCCCAGTGAATATGTAAAATAATGCAGTTGCATAATATTTAATGGCATCTACTTTTTAAATCTTACTAAGAAGACTGAAACAAGATTATTCAGAAGTGCACTTGCTAACCATTTCTTTTTTCGTTTACATTCACAGGATTTTTGAGCACTGGGGACCAAGCAGCAAAAGGAAACTATGGCCTCCTTGATCTCATTCAAGCTTTGCGATGGACTAGTGAAAATATTGGGTTCTTTGGTGGTGACCCATTAAGAATAACTGTTTTTGGATCTGGTGCAGGCGGTTCATGCGTCAATCTGTTGACTTTATCCCATTATTCTGAAGGTAACCGTTGGAGCAATTCAACCAAAGGTATTATGCAGGTTGCAAATTTTGACAATTTTGGTGTCTGCATGCCACCGCCATTAGTACTATGTGATGCTCTGTATATTCTCTTTGTTCCTATGAACTGTTGAGTTCAGCTCAATATTAAGAAAACTTTTCAAAGGCTGCACAAGCTGCCTTCTCCCTCAGCTCTTCTCTGCATGTTTAAATTTTGGGTCACTTTCTTCTTTTTCCTATGGAGCTTTGTAGAAACACTTTAGAGCAGACTTCTGAACAGCATTTTCTCGGTGCATCATTTTTGTCTCTTTTCTTTCCTACCTATGGGTGTCCTTTTTGGAAAACCACTCAGTCATGCTCACAGTAGATGAGGTTGTCTATATTCAGGCAGTCATGAAAGGCATGTTTAGTTTCTTGTGGGGAGGAGAATTTAAAGAAAAACTAAAATGATTAGTTTCCCTTTTCAGGCTAACAGCTGATATGCTTAAAACTGTTATTTTGTGTGAAGGAAACAAATACCTAGTTCAGAAATCTTTTGTCTGAAACTGCATGAACTTCACTTGCTGTCATCTAATAAAAGAATGGTTGAATGTTTTGCATGCATGATCCAAAATTGTCAAAGCATCCAAGTTGCAAATGGATTTTCTTCTATATGTTTTTATCTATTTCATAACTAACACCTTTTCTCTCTAGTTAAGGCAGACAGCAGGAAATAAAAAACATGTTGTTTGAGGCACCCAATTTTTTTTTCCTATGATTTTTGCACCAAAGTTCCACACAGTTTCTCTCATTTGCATGGCTATTATTGATCACATTACTTTTGTCTCACTGTTTTCACACATTTTTATCTGTACTGTTTAGTTTTACCAGGAATATCACACTGTGCCCTGTGCATACAATCCTCCACTGATTTATATTCCTGTATCAAAAAATGTAGCTTTTACAAGAAAGGATTAGTGGAAAGTAGACTATGCTTTAAATTTTCATCTATTTCCACAATTTGATTTTTAATTTAATTTGTAATCTTTTTTTTCTGTAACTACCTGCAGTTAAATAGGATATATTAGTAAACTGGCCTATAACAACAAGCTATAAGGATTAGCTCATTACACTGTAATCTGAGGTCACACTGCACCACCTTTTTCCATCACAACTCACAAACATAATTTTTGTCCTAGAGGACTCAGCTTAAGGTTGAATGAGGACACCTCGTTTCTCCTCCCCTAACTCTTACTTGATCTTAATCTTGACCTTCTTGATGTAACATGACATTAATGCAAAATGCCAAATTTACAATATCTGGACAGTCATGTGGTTCCTCTTATGAACAAATTTTACCCTGTTGTATTCTAACATATGGCTAGAATTCTTCCACAGGCAGAACTTGTTTGGAGAAACTGATGCAGTAATTTACCAATATAGCAGATCAAAGGATTTGGTAGGAGACTGGAGAGGTCTTAAGGATGTGTCCTTAAAATCCACTTGTAAAATAAATTTTTGAGGATTTATTTTATAAGAAAGCAAAAACATGTTTTATTGAAATTTTGATTAAACAGAACAATGTGCCACACCCCCATGTATGTTATGTTTCATTTGGGGATGATTAGACCTACCATTTTTTTTAAAAAAAAAAGTATTAAAATAAAAATTGGTCAGCTTCAAATAAGGAAAGTTATTTCAAGTTTTACAACAAGTTCAAATATCTTAACATTTTCAAAACCCCTTTTGTTTCATATTATTGACTGGTCTCTTTCATAAACTATGGATTTGGATGCTCTCTTTGCTTCCTTCATTTCCCTTTGAGGGGACCCCTTGGTAGTTGAGAGGAAGCATTCAGCCTATTCAAGATGGTGCTGTTCAGAGCTGCCCACCTGCAAGAGGGCAGAACAGCACCCAGCTTTAGAAAGTACTCTGAAAATGTAGATGAATATATGCAAATTATTATTATTTACTTTGGTGAGACTTTGAATAGGAGTCACAAAGTGATATGGTCCATTGAGCATTTAAATCTTCTTTCCATCAGTCTGAAGCCCATAAGCGATAATAATCATACATATTATCAGCTAAAAATGTAGTTCTGCATCCTGTGTGGTACCAATTTCTGCCAGGAATTATGTGACAGAATGAAAATAATTTTTCATACTGTTGTTCATTTTTCACCAAATGGTTTGAGAGGAGGAATATTTCCTTGAGCATTCTTCAGTAGAAGGAGGGATGTTTAGTTTCATTCCCAAAGATAACTTTATGGCCAGAGGACTTGACCACTTTTACTTAACCCAACATTTTATGTTTATGTAGCAATTAGCAAACCATAGTGTTTATATCAGCAGTTTCTTAATACATAGCTTACACTTTCTGTCCTTGTTCAGAGATATTTAATAAAGCAATAAAAATAGATTTACACAATATGCAAAAAAGAAACATTATGAAGTACCATGAAATACATCTTTGTGAAAATTCAGTTTTGTCATTTTGTTACATTTATTACAATGCCTGGATCCTCTGCAGTAATTCCACTGACTTTGAGCAGATTTATACTAGCTTAATATCTGACCTTGTAGACATGCAAATATATTTCTACCTGCTTTATAGCTCACGTGCTTTCCTATTTTTTACTCATATCTTGCAAGGAAATAATATGTTGGATATGACTTTTCATAAATTTAGGCAGAGCCTTGAGTGTACTTATTTCAGTTCCTACACCTATCTGATTTTAAGACTTTTGGATTTGGACCTAACACAGTCTAGAATTATTTTAAAATTCTTCAGAAGCCTGTAAAATGTTTCCTGACAGCAAGTGAGTGTACAAGGTCTGGTACTTCAATAGAGGCTGTAAAGGCATGTCTCTGACTTGATTTAAAGGCTATGCAAGTTTTTTATCAATAGAAATATGTTACTTATCAAAATAAAAGCCATCTTTTGCATTATTGGAATAAAATTCTGAGGTAAGCTGAGCACCTTAACTTTAGTGGGAGTATCCACCTATTCATCACACATTGGACTAAAGATACATTCTTAGCAAAATTGAGTGAGTGAGGCCAGATGTCACTTCCAGTCCCTGAACAACTCTACCAAAGCCAGTGGAATTACTCCAGGTGCCTATCAGCATAAATGAAACCAAATTTTGACCCATATATCTTCAATCAGCGTAACTTATGTATGCTATAGATCATTTTGTATTACCCACAGTGAGCTATAGGAGGTAGGGTCCGGTATAAAATATTTTCTAGTAATTAGCGCAAAAGATGTGCTACTGAAATGAACTGGATGTACTTCCATGAACATGCAAAAAAATAGAAAGGCCACAGTTACCTCAATATAGTCTAAGTTTCTGATATTAGCAATAAACATTATAGGAGAGTGATTTTTCTCCATTTTTTTGTGCAAGGTTCAGACTCATGATCTCTTTCAGAACTAGAACTACCCTCCTCAAAGGGAGTGGGAAAAGGCAAAGGTCCAACACAAAGGGAGCACAAGAAGTATGGGAACAAGGGTGGAATTTTGACTGCATTAAAGTGAATAGCAAAAAAATTTGATTGATTCACTGGTTACAAGGGAGTGAGGCTTTCATCCATGGTGTGTTCAAAAATGCTTACAGAAGAGAGAGGAAAACATCACTTTAAACTTGTTTTGTTATTTCTATGAGGAAAATTTTTGGTCCAGAGTGCTAGTTAAATCAGCATAAATTCAAATTAATTGCACTGAGGTCTTTGGGATTCGCTGGAAGTTTATATGCAGAGTCAGATCATACTCTTTCTCTGTCCCCCCTAAATGAATACCTGAGCGTGTGTTTAAATCTGTGAATTACAAATCTAAATAGTGTAAAATATATCACTTCCCTTTTTATGTAAGTGTGATCACTATAAACCTTCATTAAACAACTTACAAGAACGGATCTTGACTCTTAGACACTTCAAAATTTAATAGCTGCCCAGTATCTTCTCATCCATTACTCCAGAATATAGCAAACTTTTGCTATGCTATACAATTCAAAAGCACTGCACCTCTCAAACCAAGTCTAACCCCAAACAAAACATAAAAAAGCAGTATATTAGGTTTATTTAGCACATAATTGTAGGCACGCATGCTGCTGATAGCTTGAACAATATCCAGAAATTCAATCCATTTCAGAGACTTGTTGGTTTTTCCTCCAACCTTTTAACTTTAGGAATTTCTTTCAAGCGAATAGTGTTATCCTACGTAAGGTAATGCCACTTCTTTTCTTCCTGAGTTTCTTTTGCAAATCTGTTCCTCAGCTGGACTACATTGAGGTAGAATCATTTGCTTCAATTTCTGCTCATATTGCATTTATTCTGCATACATTACCTGTAGGTACAAGGACAGTCAGATCTCACCATCTTGTGTATTTAAGTATTATTAAGATTCAAGTATCTCTTCTGTTAAAGTTTTTTATTGTTTCAAAGAACTCCTTTGAATCTTTCAAGTATGTAGCTGTTTCAAGGTCACTTCAATAGTTTTTAAATATTTCTCCCCACAGGACTTTTTCAAAGAGCAATAGCTCAAAGCGGAACAGCTCTCTCCAGCTGGGCAGTTAGCTTTCAGCCTGCAAAATACGCCAGGATGTTGGCTACAAAAGTTGGTTGCAACATGTCAGACACTGTAGAATTGGTAGAGTGTCTACAGAAGAAGCCTTATAGAGAACTTGTCGACCAGGACATTCAACCAGCAAGATACCATATAGCCTTTGGACCAGTAATCGATGGTGATGTGATACCAGATGATCCTCAGATATTGATGGAACAAGGAGAATTCCTCAATTATGATATCATGTTGGGAGTTAACCAAGGGGAAGGGTTAAAATTTGTTGAAAATATTGTGGATAGTGAAGATGGCATATCAGCTAGTGATTTTGACTTTGCGGTTTCCAATTTTGTCGATAACTTGTATGGATACCCTGAAGGCAAAGATATATTGAGGGAAACTATTAAATTTATGTACACAGACTGGGCAGATCGACACAACCCTGAGACTAGAAGGAAAACACTGCTGGCTTTGTTTACTGATCACCAGTGGGTTGCACCAGCAGTAGCTACAGCAGACCTTCACTCAAATTTTGGATCCCCTACATATTTCTATGCCTTCTACCATCATTGCCAGACAGATCAGGTACCTGCATGGGCAGATGCAGCCCATGGAGATGAGGTTCCTTATGTACTAGGAATCCCCATGATTGGTCCTACTGAATTATTTCCTTGTAATTTCTCCAAAAATGATGTCATGCTAAGTGCGGTGGTGATGACGTACTGGACAAACTTTGCTAAAACTGGGTGAGTACCAGATAATGAATAGTCTTGTATATAAACTTGGGATATAATGATGCAGCACTTTTCCTTGTTTATCTCCCTTGGGAATGCCTCTGTACTTGTAGGATGAATAAGAGATTAAGAATTGGGTTGGATATTTATGTTTATTGTAATGTCCCTTAGCTCATTTACACATTCTAGCAAAAAGAGGGAAAAAATATCTTTGCGAACATTCTGCCTGAAGAAATAAAAAAACCACTTTGTACACAAAAATAATTAAGGGATCCCCAGAAAAATGCAAAACTAAGCATTTAACATATGTATATAGTTAAAAATGATTACATTAGTAACTGACTTTCCTAGCACTGATAATATTTTCATCCCATGAGATAGGAAATGACATAAATATTGCATCAAATATAATACAGCTTGTTTTAATAATGTATTTTGGTTTAGAATGACACTTCTGACCATAAAATATGTGATTTGAAACTTGAAAAATGTGGTCATTTTCATTAATTCTGCTTTCACAGGTAGTTCAAAACACTTTTCTACCTTTGGCCATTGGATTCTAAGTCGCTATGTGTTATACTGAGTTATGCCCTGCTGTGAAAAGTTGCTTGTGTTATGTAAAAGAAGGGTTCATCTGCATAATGCTGTTTCTAATCAAGATTATTAAGGTCTCTAATTTTAGGAAATAGCATTCTGCTCTGTCCAAAGGCAGACTTAAAAATTAAGCATAAAATGTTAATTATGTTAATTTTATAATTCCTTTTGAAATACTTTATAACATTGGAGATTTATTTTTTTTTTTTTAGTGACCCAAATCAACCAGTGCCGCAAGATACAAAATTCATCCATACAAAACCAAATCGTTTTGAAGAAGTAGCATGGACCAGATATTCTCAGAAAGACCAACTGTATCTTCACATTGGATTAAAACCACGAGTTAAAGAACATTATAGGGCCAATAAAGTGAACCTTTGGTTGGAACTGGTACCTCATCTGCACAATCTTAACGACATTTCACAGTATACCTCTACCACAACTAAAGTGCCATCAACTGATAATACTTTCAGACCAACAAGGAAAAATTCCGTTTCTGTTACTTCAGCCTTTCCTACAGCCAAACAAGATGATCCCAAACAACAGCCAAGCCCATTTTCAGTGGATCAAAGGGACTATTCAACAGAATTGAGTGTTACTATTGCAGTTGGTGCATCGTTGCTGTTCCTGAACATTTTGGCCTTTGCAGCATTGTACTACAAAAAAGACAAGCGGAGACATGATGTTCATAGGAGATGTAGCCCACAACGTACTACTACCAATGATCTCACCCATGCACAAGAAGAGGAGATAATGTCCCTCCAAATGAAGCACACTGACTTGGATCATGAATGTGAGTCCATCCATCCACATGAGGTGGTTCTTAGGACCGCCTGTCCCCCAGACTACACTCTAGCTATGAGAAGGTCTCCTGATGATATTCCCTTAATGACACCCAACACCATCACAATGATCCCCAACACTATACCAGGGATTCAACCCCTACACACATTCAATACATTTACTGGAGGACAGAACAATACTCTGCCCCATCCTCATCCCCACCCCCATTCACACTCAACAACCAGGGTATAGCCAGACAAGACGAAACAAACTTTATTTTTTGATGGATTACAGTAGGTGATATTACTGAAGATTACTTGGCTTTCAACCTACAAGACTCTTACTATTTAAATATGGAGGAATATTATGTGAATATACATATCAAGAACTTTGGGGTTTTGAAAAAAATGAATTGTACATATATCAAATGAACTTAAGAAACAAACAAACAAAACAAAAAAATAAAAAACCCAACTGTTCACAATTGCTTGAAGCAGTTGTCCTGAATGATACTTTTTCATTCACATTCAAGTATTAATTTTTTGAAGATTTAAGTTACATAATGGAATTAGGCATGTGCAACACAAACGGGAAAGAACTATGACTGAGAATTTTGAAAACCTATAAATATGCACAAGGGACACACTAATGGAATGTCAGATAATTTTCACCAATTTTTATTTGGACCTGTTTTATTGTGTAGACCATATTTACATATTTGAATAAGTACACAAAGCACCAATGCTGTTAAGGCCTTAGAAAGGGGCTCATGCTGAAATCTGCCAGTCAAAGAAGTTTTACAGCCTGGCAGGTACAACATTATCACATAAGTGCTGTCAGTATAAAAGTTGTGGGAATAAAGGAAACTGGGTATTTTTAGCACGATGTGCATGATAATTTATATGCTTGGTGGCTGTGCTGCTGATTAAGCCGTAATTAAAATTCTTCTCATCCCATTGGAGTTTTTAAATAGAAGCTTTCTCCATCAATTGGCACAACCTAAAGAAGTTTTCTAAAGGGGCAAAAGTAATTACAGTAAATTTTTTCACAGTAGCTTCAGAAAGAGAAGGAATTGCAACAGTTCTTAAAGGTGTTTATGGCATTCTAGGCATACAGTGGTGAACCCTCGTTGATACGAATCCCAGACAAAAAAATCTGTATTGTTAATGTTCTTTTGCCTTTCCACCTAAATAATTTCTAACTTTAACGTAACTATAACTTTGATGGAATCTCCTTTGATGAAGGATCGATAATTTGCTGTGATTTATTTACAAGGTGTTTAGTTCAAATTGGTAAGGTAAAGTGTGTCCAAAAACTTTCATTGCGATGATATTTTGCAATATAAAAATGCCCCAATATTACTGCTCTGATTACACCTTTCCGTTTATTGTTTAAACTTATGTTGCATGTTACAAAGTTTACTTACAATACTTTCATATAAAGTTAATTCCCTTTTTGCTATACATTAGCTTTGCCATTCAAATTAACTCTCTAGACCAGATGGCAACCGTGTAGAAAAAGAGGCTATGTAAGGACGGGGAGAGAGCCAACAACTGGAAATCTTAAAATCTGACTACTACATATGTTTGTGTGATCTGAAATGAATGTTCTAAAATCACAAGAAATTTTTCATTCCCCTGTTGCTTTCCAGAAATTATATACCATGGTCCTTTCAAAATGTTTGTATATGTAATCAGATGTACATTTATATAAAAGAAATAATTGAGATGGACTTAAGAGCACATCCCTGATAAATACTTTCTCTCTTACCTGTACTATATTTCTATTAGACTAAAGTTATGTGATTTTTTTTTACATTTTTTCAAATTACTAGCAATTTTGATAGTTTGTAAGATAATGCGAAGAACTTTCTCTGACAAACTAACTGCAGTAACAGAAACATTTCTTTTCAGTTACTCTTTTTCAAGAATGAAAGCTTATTACACACAAAAATTGTATACTACTTGATGGAAAATTTCTTTGTACTTCTTGGCCATATTACTGGTCACTGAGTGAAATAAAGATAATCTGGATAACGAATATTATTCCAATGCTAAGAGACCTGATCTTTGCTCATTAAAGAGCTAAAATGTTTATTGCTGTTTTGTCATTTTTTAATGAAGTAATGGTAACTGTCTCAAATAAAGAGTAATATCTTAAGACCAGTCTGGTTTTTGAAGACATGAACGTGCCTTCTACAGCTAATGCAACTGAATATTTATGGACCAGTCCCATCTACAGCCATTTCTTACAGAAATACTGACATTGTGACTGTATGATGTCATAGTCTTACACACAATTCTCCCTTAGTTTTCAGGAATAAGTTAAAAATGCAAATACCAACACAAAAAATACCAAACAAACAAGGAACAAGTCTAATTGAAACCAATCTGCAGTATTCCGTGACAGGAAAAAAATTACCTGGGTTTTATTTGTCTGCTTGGACTTTCATAAATGATTACTAAGAAGTTCAAAGCGTGTTTGCTAACATCAAGCACAAATGTTAAAATAGAACCTGAAAGCAAAATGAAGTACTGCAATTTCAGACATTTTATTTAGCTATTAAAAAAACCCCAAACCAATAAATATATTTAATTCATGTGTATTACAGTCCCCAGTTTTAAATTAAGATCTTTTGGTAGAAGCATAAAAAATAGTCTTCAAAATCCAGGGTGGTCTGTGTGCAATTTCTGCCTGATGTGGTTGTGCTTTTAGACTGTGACCTGCCAATGTAAACCAATAAAAAGAATTGTCTGCCATCTGATAATTATTGTTTAATAGGAAGATTGTATTTTGCTATGTTGATGAAACAAAACAAAAAATACAAAAATATTGATGGCCATAAAATGAGATATTAATGAAATATGATTTTATGTGCTTTTCTTAACTTTATCAAGACCAAAATAACTTTCTACTATAGTTTATTTGTGGCCATATATCTATATATCTCTATATATACAGTATCTGGTAATTGTTTACTTTTATTAGTTACAAAATAAATGATTTAGGTAAACCAAGCATGACACTACACTTTATTTCTGTCAGCCAACAATATTTAAAATGTGAACGATGAAGGCAACAACACAGATTTTATCACTCCTGTTTGAAAAAAAAAACTCTATTCCTGTGATGCAGATACTGTGAATGATATTTTAGTGGCTACTTTATAATTACATTACAGCAGCTGGCTTTCCAAAAGTAAGGTGGTGTCCCACATTTTAACACAACATTAAGAAAGACCAAGAGCTGTTTGAAAGCTGAAACAAAATAAAAATCCAGGAAATGGTTTTTGAATATCTTCATTATGCTTCATGGAATATAAGTTTGTTCTTTTAAAAATATTTATCTGTTTGATTTGTTTTCCATGGTAGCCTACAAGAAAGCAAAACTGAGTGTACTATTTAATTTCTTGTATCATCCTTGGACCAGATTTCCAATAAAATTAGGATATCAGTCAGTCTTTGGAAGTTCAGTAAAAATATTAAAAGCCTGCATTTATTGCTTTCACACTTTTGTAAATATGTTTGCAGATCTTTTTAAGAAAATGTATTCTACCATTTTGAGAAAAAAAACAAACAAACAATGGAATCATTGTCTCGTTTATCTATTAAAATTACAGGCAATATAATGTGCTGTGCTGACATTTCTAGGAGAAATAAAGCCGATAAAAATGCATTTTGCTTAATGGTATCTCAGTTGGTTATACGTGGCATTCTCCACCCACGGAGGCCTTGCAGGGCATGGATGAACTACTTGGATATAATGTTCCACAGGAAAACGGAATTGTTGTTTTCGCTGTCTCTGCTAAACATGGATTCCTATGTTACAAGACTTTAATTATTGATATTTTGGTTACTGACACACCCTGAAAAGAGAATGAATACAGGTCTAACAAATGAGCATGTTACAGCTTTAAAGACACAACTGCACAGAAAATACTGGAATTTCTGTTGCCAACTTCACTAAGAGATGAAACAGCTGAACTCCTGGGAAGCTGTCAAACATCATGGCATTCCTTTGATGTTTGTAAGTTGGTGTTTTTTTCCTGTCGTGTTGGTTTAAAATATTGGCCTTTTTCCCCACCTTTTTTCTAGTAATGAACTGTTATAGATGATCGCTTTTTAATGTAAGCGAACATTAGATAATTTAATTATTATTGTGAAAATGTGCTCCCAAATAAATTAGATTAATGGGAAATTCCCTGCAGAGGTTTTGGTATTTTTCATTCAAAGCTCTTGTCAAAATATCTGCAGCAGCAGTTCTGCTTTTTTTTTTTGCAGTCTGTAAGCTAAGGGACTTTCTCCAAATAACATCAAGTATCTCTTTTTCTAGTTGAAATAATAACACTATAAGATTAAGATATCCTTCTGAGGCCTCCAAATAAATATGAACAATCTGAAACATGGTGAAGAGGCTTTTACTCTGAACATTCCAATTTTATTTAATTCTGGCACATCAATACATTTGTATGGAGACCAGAAATTAGTGGTATTTGATAAGGCGTTCAAGAGAACTATGCAGCAGAATCAACGAGTTAACCACCAGCCATGCGCAAAGTCTCTTTTCTCTTAGGTTCCGTAAATGCCATTGTATAATTGATTTCTTATTTACAGATTCAGTAAAAACTTAACTTTGTTAAATGGGAAGTGGTTAGAACAAGGTAATGAACTTTATCTGGTGGAAAATGTTTAGTAAGAAATGTTGAGAATCACCCAGGAAGCATAGATTTTTATGTGCAACCTGGCTTCATTCCTTTTTGTTGATCTTCTAATTCTCAGTAATTCATACACGTGGGAAACTATCATTTCTGTAATAAGCTTTAGTTTCTAAATGGAATTTAAGTATTGCATGGAAATGGTGGATTAAAGCCTATTCTGAGTTTAGTTTCCCTTGCTATTGGGATGAATGAAAAACCTCACAGAAGTGCAACAAATTTGGACGAGTAATTTTCATACAGTATCTTGAAATGGGTTCTTTTTTTATTTGAAAAGTACCATCACAGCAGTAAAAGCCACATAAGTATTGGTCACAGAAAAAGCTTTCTTGTAGCTATAAACATCTTTCTTTCCACATGCACTACTCTAGCCCATAAAGGAGATTTCAAAAAATGTGAATAAACAGGGATTTTTACATTTATGCACCATGTGGAGTCAACTCAAAGGTAAATGCAAGTGCCCCGTGTGGAGGTAGCACCAGCACCTCATTCTACATTCTCCACTGTTATTGACCAGATGCTCAGCTGATGACATTTTTTTTAGCACCAGCTGAATTAGTATTTATCATAAGACCATTGAAATCAATGAAGCCCTGCCAATCTACACCAGCTATCGATTTGCTTCCAGACCTTTAATGTTCATCATGGCTCAACTCACCCTCCAATTTTGCATATCTTCTCACGCACATAAACACCCACTCACAGAAATTATTACAAGTATAACTACCTGATTTATGAGCACTATCAGGCACTAAAATGTGCTTTAAAATATGCTTATAGTTATTTGCATGTAAAGGCAAAAATTCAGAAAAAAAGAGCCTTCTGCATAAAAAAAATAAATCCCTGGTGATTACATTAATATAAAGAGAAGGTTTGTACCAAGGTTTGCAGCCTTAAGACACTATAGTAAGTTTTATGTTAAAATCTTTTTAAAAAGGAACATTCAATTCTGCCTGATCCTCAGCTCTATATTGACCTATATGTCAGACACACAATGACACTTTACAGCAGTTGTAAGCCTGCTCTGCTATTCTCCATTCTGGAAAGGAAGAGACATACAACAGAGCCACACGCTGTAAATTCAGGACAGAAATAGCTGGATTTTCCCTGTCATCTGAATTTTCCCTTCTCAGTGTAAGCAACACCAGGCACACAGCAGTTATGAGCTTAGCTTTAGAATGATGCCATTTAATGAAATAATAAATGTGGAGTTCTTATGTCTATAGGGTTGGCCATTTAGCATTCAGGTTTTCTGCTTTACAGCTGTAAGAGACAGTAATTTTTTTCCAAATGGAAGTTGATAATACTGGCAACCAGAGGTGATAATACTATAGCTCAATTAACAAGAGGTTCATGAAAGACTTTGTAAGCTGATAAGACTTTAACAGCATTATTTAAAAAAAAAAAAAAAAAAAAAAAAAAAGACAAATTTTGCATGTACTGATTTTGTTCAGTTGCTATGGAAATTAATGAGAATTTCACTGTTGACTTTACTGAAAGAAGGATCAGTTGAGAAATCTGTATGAACTTCTGTGAGGTCCATATAAAAGCTAAACAGCTATGACCATGGCTTCTAAGAGCCTTTGGATGTTTCCTGACCTTCCTGTGTTATTGATCATCTGTATCTCTGCAAAGAGAAGCATGTATGCTCAGATATTCATGCTTAGTGGCCAAATACAAATAGGTTCTTCCTAAAAAGACACATCACTGTGATACTGCAAAATCAGCTAATATACCTAATTTTTCAGCAGGTCTTGTGAGCTTGGTCTCAGCACTGGGTCAGTGTCCTCACATGGCTCTGGGCTGCAGCGTGATTGTGTCTCACGGGCAGAGACAAGACAGCTAGAAGAAGAAAACTTGTGTCTGCAAAGCAGTCATGGGCCAGACCCAGTACAATATACCTGATATAAATTTTTCCTGGAATAAAATGAGGGGTGGGGCAGAACCTTCAGGCAGGAGGCAGTTTGGGAGAGTGAAATGTACAACGTACCTATTTCATCCATTAATTTGTAGAAACAATTTTGGCAGTAATTTAAAGCAACTAAGACAATATGAAAGGTTCTAAAAATTATGTATCATTTGTTTGTCACCAAATACATTTTCAGAAGTCATGCAATATTTTACTGATTGATGATAAAGATATGGTTGTGCACTGTTGTTTTTTTCTACTTTTCACAAGGTTACTCCTCCGTGGTACTGAAATTTGGCTAGGCAGATGAATAAATTTTGCACTCATTTACATACAGGTAAGTCTAGAGCAATTTCATGCTTTGATAGAATTGGAAATACGGACCTTCACTGAAAAAGGTAAGCAACATCCAAAACC